TTACTTCTACATCCGCTGTTGAAAAATCTCTATGAGGCCAAAAGGACACAGCCCATCCTCTCTCTACAGTGTGAAGCAGCTCCCTCACTTTCCTCTGAGACTCTTCTTCATCCAGAAGAACATAGTACAGAGCAGTGAAGAACTCCTGAAAGCTATGATACATGAAACTAAACATGGTCTCCTGATGGATTCTTCTCTTAGAGAGGAAGTTGCACAGGAACGGACTGCCAGCAGGTTCTGAAACGGATTCCTTTACAGTTTTCTCATCAAACAGCACTTGTTGTTCCAGCATCCCTCTGTCTGCCAGCTGACCCAGACTCCTCAGCAGGTTCGGCACAGACTGACTCAAACCCTTGCAATGATGCTCCACTAGAGTGGAAACAAAGTCAGCGTAGATGGAGGTGGTGGTTTGCAGTTCACTTGTTACATTTGCACCAACCTTGAACATCTCACTGATTATCCAGCGGATAACAGGAATGGAACAGGCAGTGAGGAGGGTTTCATTTGCTCTCACACAGTCATACTCTTTGCTGAAGAACTTCTGGAAGTATGTCTCCACCTTCTTCTCAGAGAAACCCATCATTTCAGTGAAACAATTGTGTCCTTTCAGCAGCTTGTTCACTGTGTTCTTAGTTCTGGTGGTGACCAGCAGTTTGGATTTAGGGATGAGGTATCTCCTCAACAGGGAACATAGAATGACCTCAAGTGGGGCTTTTTGAAGCGGATGAGTGTATGCTTCTGACATGTCATAAATGTCCTGCGTGAGTCTCAGTTCATCAAATCCATCAATGATGAAAAGCATCTTCTCTGGTGACTGCTGTAACATCTGCGAGATCTGATCTGATGTTAAACTACAGCTGTAGCTCAAGAGCTCAGTTAAATTAATCTCCTCAGAAACACACATCAGCTCCTCACATCTCAGATTGAAAACTACATACACATTTTTAGAAGCTTCAGATGCCCAGTTCAACATGATCTTCTGTGCTATGATGGATTTGCCACTGCCAGAGTCGCCTTGGAGAATGACATTTGATGTCATTGTACCATATGACATCAACAATTTGTCCACACTGATGTTCTTAAATCTGCCATTTTCCTTTTCCCAAATGATCACTGGTTCATTATACAGGGCAGACAATGACTCTCGTTCACCAGACAGTGAGCTCCACTCACTCTCATACTTCTGTAGGATTGACTGCTTATACTGATGTACAATTATTTTAGATCCTAAAGGAAAGCCAGATAATTAATTAACAAAACGTAAGAGTGTATTGCACTCAACAGAAAGCAACTTACTATTGCATTAAACCTACTGGTTTAAAAAATATATTTTAAATCCTTAAAATATTAATATTAAAAATAAACAAAAAACATTAAATTATATTATTTTGTGTTTTGGTGAGATTCTGTAAAACAATGTTCTCAATAACGTGCAAGTGATTTCCTCATTCTTGCTTTCAGTGCTTGAAAAGAATTAGAGGCAGCCAGATGGACTGAGGATGAAGTATAAAGCAGTATGAAGACAATCTAATATTCTTTTAGGAGCAGTTTATTTTTTCCAAAGCAGTGTCAAAATATGGGCCTACTTGTCACCCCAAACTGGCTGTGTGGAGTCCCTTTAAATCGTAGGTCTTCTGATAATCTAAACAAAGATCCTGACATTCTGAGATCCTACAGGAAAATGTAAAAATGTACTATATTGAATCAACTAAAAATATAACATTGCATTATACTTACTGCTTTTCAAAAATACTATAAATCATTCAAATGTTGATGTTAAAAATTAAGAAATGATATTTTCTATTTATAGCTTATATACTGAAATATTTGAATAGTTTAAAAGTTTATAAATATAAACTATATCACATTGTGTTTTGGTTAGATTCCTGTAATAAGTCAAAATGTTGTATGTACATCACCAGGCTTATCTGTTTAATAGGAGTTCAGTGTCACTGCATAAACTCATACATTTCAAATTATACCACTACTTGAATACACACTTGGCCAATTCTCTTCCAATATTACTGGTATGTTTTTGCCATTCAATTATTATTCTAAAATCTTTGTGCAGATCTGTTTTTAGCATTAAAAAATATAAAAGCAGATTTAATGAAAGCAGATCAGCTGACAGTGTTATGATCTCTCTTCCATTGTTGACAGTTACATAATTAATGGTCATCAATGAGTGTTTTCCCAATATATTAGAACATAGGCGAGGATTGGCATTTCACTGATATTAACAGGTAGAAGGCATTATAATTCAATCATTTAATAATTTAAGTGCCTAAAAGTATATTCAGGAGCTCAATCCAACTGAAATGCTATGGGGACTTGGAGTGGGTCATACATGAAACCCCTTCAATATCACACTGTTAAAAACGTTCGGTATGGAAGAATGGACAAAAATGTCTCCAAGCAGTTGTAAGAGACTGTTAGACAACTATACGAAATGCCAATTGTGGAAATACAGGCTACTACATGTAGAACTAGTTGCTACTATGTCCTTTTTCACAGAAGACAAATTAATTTCTGTTGATTAAAAGATTTAAAAGCAAGATGTATAGTGATTTGTTAAATTATATCACTTTCACCCATCAGTATCATGTCCAAATAAAGTTCCAGTATTGATATGCCCACATTTGTGACATTTGCCATTTCAAAAGACATAGATACACAATGGTTAAAAATTAAGACGCATCATGTATATCGTTGTCTCATCATTACACCAAACACACCACAGAAAATCCCTTTTCACTTACATCAGAAGGGTCTTCAGATGTCCTCCTTCTGTGTGGCCATACTTGAAAATAATTAAAGTTCATGTCAGATAAACTAGAGATTAAGTATAAAGCAGTATGAATACAATGTAATAATGCATTAGGAGCAAGTTTGAAATGACCTTAAAGGGAAAATTCTGTCATCATTTACTCTATGATGATATAACATGTCTATTCTGGGAAATGTAGAAAAACAAACAGCTTTCTGAAACAGAAGCACATGCTTTATTCTATGGAAGATTATCATATTTAGGTATTTATTAAATTAACATGCAGATTTATATGTATTGTCTTAGTTGTGTAAGGTAAATATTCAATTCAAGTTTATTTGTATAGCGCTTTACATGATACAAATAGTTGCAAAGCAGCTTTGCAGAAAATTACGTTTCTACAATATATATAGTAGTAGCTTATCAGTGGTGACTACATTCCAGAGTTATCACTGAATGCAACATGAGCACTAAAATCAAACGATGAATGCTAACTTTATATATGATAAATAACTGAAAATGTTTAAATAAAAGCTTCATAACAGTGAACTGAGAAATTATTTGCTTAACTTCTAAAAGTTATTTACACCACAAAATAATAAAGTGTTTGATTTCTAGTCATTACTGACGATTTTCCCATTGATAAACATTAAGGGGATTTCTCAGAATGGGCTGAGAGAAAGAAAGAGCAGGAAAAATAATGGAAGAGGAATAATTTTTTAATTACAGTTTATAATATGTAAAAATCCATACCTAAGCGTTGTTTCAATCTTAACTTCCTCCTGTATTCTGCACTGAGCTCATCTTCTGAATCTGATGACATGATGTGTTCTGGGAAAAAGGATTTTCAAGAGACACACAGGTCAGCTGAATTGAGAACTGCACTGAAAAATGTAAAGCTACCGCACAACCAGCTTTACTCTATTAAGTTGAGTAGGATATCAAGTGTGATTTTGAGGGCTATAAATCAATTAGAAGGGTTTAGTCTGAAACAGTTGTTCTTAATCCTGGTCCTGAGGATCCACAGCACTGCACAATTTGCATGGGTGTTTCTTAACACTCAATTTGATGCTTCCTCATTTCCTTGGTCCTCCATCCTCCAGCCTGAGACCTTGATATTGATGAAAGTTAGCCATCATTAAGGACATCTCAATTCTCTTATTGCACTGCGAGGAGGTAAACGAGGAATGAGGAATCTCTCGGAGGAGCCATGAGCAAAATCCATGAACTAAGCCCAGGCTTAGGGTGTTCATTTTTCTTCAACTGGTGATCCACTATATTACTATTTTTGTTTTGCCAGTCAGAGCAGAGAACTAATTTTTAACACAAAAATATGGGCCTACCCGACATACCAAACAGGCTGTTTTGAGTCATATTCATATTTTGATCCAGATAAAACAGCAATGAAATATGTTAAGCTACAGCATATCTAGCTTATATTTAGTCTACGTGTTAAGTGCTTGGGACAATGATACTATACAGTTTAATTATACTATTAAACTACTCTATATAATAAGGAATATAATCAGTGGTCGAATTGTAAAAAAAATTCAAGGGGGATGGTGTGATCAATGTCCTTTCTAATTATATGTAATGATTAAAAAATTTGTCTAATTTTTAAAAAGGTTTTTATTTAATAAAAAATTTGCCTTATTAAATGAACTATTATTTATAAGCTTTTTTCCCTTCTTGGACCTAAAAATTTAGGATTATTTTGCTAAATGTGTTTTTGTGCTGAAATATTGCCTGGTTTAGGCCTGTCAGGGATAAATAATAATGACAATAAAACCACCAGTAGGTGGCAGCAAGTCCCTGTTTTGA